TGGTCACTTAAAAGCGTTTTCTCTTTCTTCCGAAACATAAATATTCTCATTGTTATATATTCTAAAACATAAGCATTCCTACAACCAAAAAATATAAAATACAATCATCTGACGAAAGAAATTTGCTTATCCTCTTTGAAAAAACAAATTTGCTTATGATCCTCTTTGAAAAAAAGAAATTGCTTATGAATCTCTTTCAAAAAAAAAAATTGATACCGGCCACAAATCAAAGATGCCCGACGTGCCAACGCGGGCCGTGTAAAAGATTTAAACTAAACCCAAATGCAGCAAAGCTTGGAAAAAAAAACCCCAAAATTCTATAAATAAAAGGAAACCCAAGAAAGGGGTTAGGGGATTTTTTTTTTCTCAATTGCAATGGTGAAAAGGTTGGCTTGAAAGAGTAGAAGCACATTGTAAGAGATTGTTTAAGAGGAAAAGAAGGAGAGTGAGGAGCGGGGTGGATCTTTGGAGCAAGTTTGGTGTCGAAAAAGGACATCTGAAGCTTTGAATCGTCGACAGTGGAGGTGGGAATTGTTTGGAAAGAAAGAAATTTGTGAGATTAACCATATTTATCAAAAAGGAAAAAAACATAAATATCAAGATAAAATAGAGAAGTAAAGTTAGAAAATGGCATTACCACCATTTACAGCCATGAGCATGGCAGTAGCTCTCTCTCTTTCGATTCGGCTAGATTGAATGTCGATAAGAACGATGAGAGGGAGGGTTTGTTTCAGAAGGATAAAATCCGTAATTATGACTTCAGGCTAGAGGATATTTTTGGAAGAAAAATTATATCACCAAATTACATGAAGCGCTGAATTCTAATTCGGAGGGGTAGGCGCCGAATTCCACTTACAACTAATCCCCTAATTGAGCCCGCAACCGAATTTGCAATTCAGCATGTTTTTTGAAACAAACATTGGAGTTACTATTCAAAATCGAATTTACCCATAACGAAAAGGCAATGCAGGTGAACCAAACACGTTGTAAGTTATTTTTTTGGTATATAAAATGTCAGCATGAGTTATCAAGAAAAAAATTCATTAGTGTTTGCTTCTTTAAACTGTTAGTGTCTCAGGGGACATGGTTGACCCAAATTCGTTAAGAAATCCACGCATTTGTGTCCTTCTCACAAGATATGTCGTACCTCAAAGACATCCCAACTTTCCTTAATAGGTGTGATTGCATCCAATACTAAGAATGCAATATGATGAGATAAAGGAACGTCATGTTGCAAGAATTGAATAACTACATTGAATCAAGTTCCACTATCAGCTGAGCAATTCCCAACTCCTTAGCCAAAAGTAAGCCTTCCTTGTAGACCCCATGAATGATTTGTCGTCTAGCTATTTGTATGCCCAATATTTACCATAAATCGAACAACAATCACAGTCCTATGAGAGTTCAAAATAAAGGGGAGGATGCCACCTAACCCACCTATTCACCTGCAAAGAATTTAGACGATGCAATGCAATGGTTTGATTAGTTTCTCTAGCTAACTTATGTGCACAATACCCCACCTTGCTAGACGAATTTGCATGGCCATGGAAAACCAAATGATTATGTCTCTTCCAAACGTACCAAAGTGTTGCAACAAATAATGTTTTCCATGACACATCATCACATATCATCGATTGTGTTTTGCCATTTGAAAGAGCCAATCTTGGTAATTTTGCCTTAAGAAATTAGCGACATCTGCTTGTAGTGTGAAACAACTCCATACTTCCATAGCAAAGGTGAATTCTCGAAATAAATGAAGAGTATATTCTTGGGGGCAGCACACACCATGCACACATCATGGATATGAAACAAAGGGGCCGTTTGGTTCGCCAAAATCAGATATTACCATGGTTATATTGATGGCTGGGTATGTTGATGGTTAAGTGAAATGACCAACCATTCGATGGGTTTCTCGGATGGCTGCGTTTGGTTGCCTCAACAAATACCCGGGTATTTCACTTAAAAATTATATACCCATGTACAAAATACCCATGTTTGTTTAGAGTTAAACAAGGTTATGTGATGGGTATTGTTGCCAAATTACTTCAATTACCCCCATATAAGAATAAGAAAAATAAACATACTTATATAATAGATTACAATTTTCCCAAAGTGTTTTTTCAGTTCATTACACATAATTATCCATATTAAGATTACATAATTGACAATATGTTTGACATTAATCAAATTAATTTACCAACAATAATGCCTATAATGAGAGCAATCATGACATGAAACCAACAAAATGAAAACTTTGGGTTATGATATTGCTTTTGCAATATCTCCTCCCCGCCATTGTCATGAATATCCCAATACGCCAAAAATGATTCAGCTTCCTCTCTACTCGCAAATGACTTGTGGACTGCGCCACGGAACCCATGCACTTGCGAATGTGCTTCCGGCCATGTGTCATATATACTGGGTCTATGACCAACATAAACCACATATGTTTTGGCCATTGCTTGAACAATTTCTACGAAAAATTATAAAACACAATACATAAGAAACTAAAATTGGAAAGAACTAATTAAAAACTGCATAATTATGTCATTGAACCTAACATATCTAAGTTCCACAAACCAACCCATAAAAAGCATATGAAAACCCACATAGTTTTCAACAAATGTTGCTTAAATCATAACACACATAAAATGTTCATTCAGACCCTAATCAAATCCTAAACCCATGACCTACATCAAGTCCAATTCATCAATCTCGCCTTCTTCATCACCACCATTTCCCCCACCCGCAGCAGCTCCATCATCAACACCCCTACGGGCTTTCCATATTTGTTGCATCATAGGGTAGTGAGGGAATGACTTATTCCTCAAACGGCTAGCATCCTTTGAGACTGGATCGCGCACGTGAGCCTAGACATCATTTTAAAACACATCTTATTAATGTTAGGCTTACTTTATTATCTACACCCATGCACTTATCTTAAATCATAACACACATAATAACATCATTTACATTACCTCCATCCAAGCATCCCACATCTAATCAGAGCCGACAACTTGATGTGTTACCTCACTATAGCCGAAACCATCACACAACAACAAGTTCATTAGACCAAACCGCCTTTTCATGTGCCTAGTCTTGCTATTGATATGGTAGCCTTCGAACTTCACCAAACCTAATCGATTGTTCACCATGGTAGCCAAACGTTATAGCCACCCTGGCCCAAAATGGTCATTATAAGTGGGGAGGGTTTGCATGGGCTCCAACAAAATCCTTTTCTCCTCTACAGACCAAGTGACCTTAGAGACCCTACGGGCTTCTATAATTCTTTCACGGCCTTCCATTTCTAGATTGAATATCCAAACCATAAAATAAATAAATTATCATAATATACAAAAACCATTCTTGGGAATCAATGCAATGCCACATTTGATAACTATTGGAAATAATAAACATCAATAAAGACAAACCTTATGAAATGTTCAAATCATTTCATAATATGCATCTCAAATACAAAACATTTATACTTAAATAGAAGATGTTTTTCATACTTAAAACCTACCATAAATAAACCCTAATGTTCACCAGCTATCGGTGAAAATTATACGCAACTGCATATATTGTGGCAGTTTGACTCCTCTAAGTGATGGAAGGGAAGGATTTTCCCGTTCCCACAAAGTCCACAAAGCAGCTGGACCCTTTAATTTTTCAAACTTATTAAACCTAAACCCAAACTGCACCATTGCATGAGCTATCTCAAACTCTATCTTCAACTTGCCTACGTAATGCCAAAACTCCCCACCCTTGTCTTTTTTCGATGGGCATAGTTCAACAAAACGGTTGAAAAGGTTAGGGCCGTCACGAAATTCAGAGGTACACCCCCAAATCGACCACTCATCTTCGAGCCAATGCTTGGTCATTGCATCAATGACAGCTTCAATGCATTTATCCGACCACTCCTCTGTCTTTGCATTGTTTGAACTCGATGCCATTGATGATCTAATTACAAATTACTCGTACCCAACATAAACATATATTTCCACAATATTACCTACACAAATCCAATGTCCGAACCCTTTTTTTACAACTAAAACACCCATAAACCAACATACACGATTGATTAAACAACGCAAAAAACGAAAATAGTTAACAAATAAGCAAACTCGAAACCCATCAAAAGCAAACAAATTCAATATAGCTCATGCAAGAAATGAAACATCACTAAACCCAAGTATGAAGGTCAACAATTCAACCCCATGATGAAAACGGAAATTACCTCCATTACGTAGGAAAAAAAACAACAAAACACAAGAAATCCAAAGTGAACAAATCCACAAACCACAAACATAGAGTTTTTATATTTATCAACATAAATAGGTAAAAGTTATACCAAGTTGTAAATCTGGGGAAGATGAACAAAGCCCAAGCAACCGACGACCGAGATCGGAAGAGACGGCGACGATCTGGCGAGAACAAACTCCGGCGGAAACTAGTGAGAGAGAGGGTCGAGTTTTAGAGAGAAGAAGGAAACTGAAAAAATGATGAAATTGGAAAATTTGTTCACTTAAATAGGGAGGGGTATAAGGCGTAATTAATAAAAGTTTCTAAGGACAAAATGGTCAAAGATCAGTATACTCGCTTAAGTGAAATATCCAGGCGTTTTCATTCCCATCGAAATCGGGGGTATTGGGGATGACCGCGCGTGGACCACACACCGGGCTTGTCGGCGCATTTGGTCATCTGCTGGGTATATTTTTACCCAGCCAAATAGTAACCAAACGCGGTCATCCGGTGGTCATCTCCCAGGATACTCGGGCATATCCCAGGAGTACCGCGAACCAAACGACCCTAAAAGGAATGGAATAAGGATATGGATGTAATATAGTAAAATAAAATGACCTTGAGGTTCCCTATGAAGTGAGGCATGGAATGGAGCCACTACAAAGAAGTTCTGGGGGGTTATGAAGTAAACTTTGAGTTCATATTGATCATAGGTTGAGAACAAGAATTGAACTCTATGAGATCTAATTTCCCATTGTTACTCAGTAGCACAGAGGTAGAGCAGTCGACTGTTAGCGGACTGGTTGTAGGTTCGAATCCTACTGGAGGAGATTTGATTTATTTTGAATTAAAGAATGTGAGAATGAAAGGGTTCACTTTGACAGTTAAGAGCAGGTAACCCTTTCTGTGTGTCTTTGTTTCCGTGGCTTTCTATCTCATCGTATCCCATTTTGTTCTGCGCTATTTGAGAATCACCGTCAATATCTCGGTGTAAGTACGCGATAATTTTTTATTCCATAGTTCTGAGGCTATTTACAACCAGCCAATTAAGAACTAGGCATCCACTGCCTTATGTTTTCGAACACAATTAACATTCGTGTTGAGTTTATCTACAAACAACAACCAGAAAAAGAAGTGCATCCTTTTGATGCATTGAATCTTCCATATCCACGAGAGTTTAATTTGTAACATTAAGGCATCATTAAGAGTTTATTAGTATTTCTCTTTCTTAACATTAAGGCATCATTAAGAGCTCTTAAGGCACTTAAGTCTAATTTGGAGTGTTTAATCCATTCGATGCATTCAGTGGAGTGTTTAATTTGTAATCTTGAAATGTATCTACTAATAAAACTATGCAAAATAGTCATGAAATGTATGTACTAATTTAGTCTCATCATTAACCAAATTCCCATGACTTATACAGAATTGCTTCCATCAGCTCATCTAGCAAAGTCTTGTGGAACCAGTTTATGTGGAACCCATGCAACCCCCTTATTAGATGGTATGGTCCCAATGTGCGATGTGAGTTTCATATGAATGTTCAAGGTCATTTCACGGAGGATTGTACTAGTTTGAAGAAGAAAGTGCATGCATTGATCAAGGCAGGGTTGTTGAATTTCCAATGAATAAAAGCATAGTCAATGGCTGGATATCTGAATGTATGGGGCAGCAGTGAAGTGTTTCATATGTAATGGATCAGGTTCCATGGTGTTTCTGCCCAAGAACATTAGGAGAATTGTATGGGCTTTCGTTTCATTTAACAGTTTCTGTAATAAAATAGATGCATTTCTTGGTTCAGAACATTCTCGCATCATTCATTATCATGTGCATATATCTTTCCATTTTTTCAAGTGTTTGTACATTCACAAATGTTGATATAAAAGACAAAGCTCACGTCAGAATAATTTGGTCTGGATCTCTACAGTTTTGCCAATAAGGGTGCAAAACAAGGGCAATTTCCTCACTTTTCTCATTACCTTGAAACTTACATTTGGAAGATATAAGAGCCTTTTGTTTCAGCATTGTTGTTTTGTAAATATTTACATGTGTTTGTGTTAAGAAAAAACAACAAAAATATGGGAGAAAATTTTTCAAAAAAGGGGGGGATTTTCTTCAAATAAGTGAACATGTAATCTTAATAAAAGGAGGTTTTAAAGAAGATTGGTGCTTACTACTAAAAATGGCCTAGACATGTTTTCAAAACACTTAAAGTGGAAGGGTCAATACCTGTATCTGGACTATGAGCAAAGGAATGATGAGTGATCGAGCCAAAAACAACCCTATTTTTATAGTTATTTTCTTATGTTTTTGGATGAATCTATACTCTAATATGTCTTATTTTGTTAGTATTTGTGTTTTTAAGTCTTTAAGAGATGAAAAGTGAAAACTTACTAATTTCCACTATTTTTGGAGCTATTTTGATGATTTTTGACACATATATGAGCAAAGTATTTTTGAGTGAAGATTTGAAGATTCGAAGTTCATGATTGAAGATTAATTGGAGTTAATTTGAAGATATGAAGTCCATTGAAGAATTATTCCAAGGAGCAAGAATTAAGGATCGAGCTTATCGCAAAGGATTGAAGAGAAGCTATGAAGAAGCTTTGAAGACATGGATCCAAGAATATTTTATATGGGATAATAATCAGCCCAGCTAAGCCCACAATTGGAGTCATAAGCTCAATCTGTGCCGCACAAACCCTATAAAATATCCAATTCCCGCAATACTAGTCCTAGTTAAATTAGGATTCTGCGCAGTCTCGGTAGAACGGCCATAACTTTTGATCCCGACCCCCAAATGAAGCGTGTCAATATGCGTTGGAAAGAGAACTCCGAGATCTACAACTTTTCTTTGAAGCCCAAAGCCCAAATCTGCCATCTTCAGCCCCGAAATTGATGTTGAAGTTGCTATTCTGTAGTAGTTTTTCCAGAAATCCGATTTTTACTCTAAGTCAGCTCAAGGAAGACTTTTAAGCCAATTTGGAGACCAAGTTAGAGTCTAAACCGTCCTAGAGTCCTATCATAATTATGATTGGAGTCTTTAGGGTTATTTTCTACTATAAATAGACACCTTAGGTCTAGGTTTTTATGGTATTGTATTGTAGAATAATTAAAATAGTTGAAGACTTGGAGGATTGCTTGGAGCCGCCGGCCTCTTCCCCCTCTTCATCCATAGATAAGTTTTCTTTATCTTTTCTTTGGATGCTCACTCAATTCATGAGTGAGTAATCATTTTCTTTTCTCCAATGTAGAATTTAATTGATCTCTTGACTTATATCATGGTGAGATTTTTGCACTTATATATGAAAATTGTTTTAGGTATTTCTTATATCTCTGCACGAATTCTATGTTTACTTGTTTTAATAGTGTTTATACCTCAATTTACAATTGAGGGTAAATTGGTCTTCACATGACTATAATCAAGATGTGTGGTCAGGTTTTAATCAGAATTCCTAAAAGAATTTGGTTTCTGCACCACCCTAGTTCTGATAGAATTAGGAAAATCTTGTAATTAATTGCAAGGGCTGAAATTAATTAATTATTAAATAAATAATAATTATTTTCTTGGATGATTATTATTAAAATCATCACATGTGCCCCCTACCTAGGAGAGTGGAAAAGAAAGTCAATCGGAAGCAGTTTCCTTTAATATTGCTGCCTACTAGGGAGGCAAACAAGTAAAAAAGGAAAATTGCTTGTCATCTACCCATGAGATGAAAAATATCTCATGGACTTACATAGCAAGGCGTAAAGTCGTCTCCCATGTAGAGGAGAGGCCGCCCTCTGCCCTGGTGAGAGATATTTTTCTCTTCATGCAGGAAGGAGGCAGAGAGCTAAAGTTTGTCAGCAAGAGAAACATTTATGCACGTGAGAGAGGCATGAGATTTCCAACCCCACACCTCCTCCATATAGTCGACCAACCATAGTGGACAAATCGCCTAGCCCTTTTCCCCTCCCCGGGAGGCGAAACTGCAACTTTGTATTTTGTTCAATTAAGGACAAAATAGTAAAATTGACCAATTGAAGAGGCTAGAGGCTGCGATTTCTACCAAGGAGTATACCATGATGATCCTTGAGCTATGTAGATCATCTTGCTAAAGTTTCACCTCATTCTGACATCGGGGTAAAAACTTATGCCCGGTTTTCAGTTAAGGACATTTTGGGGAGTGAAACCAAATTCACCATGATAGAGAGCTCGAAATCACTTGAGATTTTTTCCATAGTCTTAGAGATAATCTAAGCCTACTGGTGAAATTTTGGTTTATTCCGAGATCGTTTGCAACTTTTGCATTCTTTTCAGTTAAGGACATATGGCTTTGTCACCCCGGTTTAAGCCATTTTCTTAATTAATTGTTATTTTCATGATTTGAAGAGCTAAATATGGTTAAGTATGAAGAATTTTGTGGCCTTAGTGTTCAAAGTCCAATTTATGATGTCAATTGGCCACTACTTAGTCAAAATAGCTAAATTCAGCACAAAAGAAGCAACGAAGGCCTGCTGAAGTGTGATAGGAAGGAGGAAGAATTATCATCAACACCCCAGGAAGGAGATTTCCATCTCCCATCCAAGCAGAGTGGCGGCCGTAGTATATATTTTGCGCTCTCCCTAGTAGTTGCAAGCAATCAGAAGGAGAAAGAAGCTTCATTGCACCTTCCTAGAGGTTGTCATCTACCTAGGAGGAGAAATTCGCCTTCTTCAGCAAGGCAAGCCCATTAATGCCAAAGCCCATGCCGCCCCCTATATAAAGGGAGACCATTCTCAGGTTTTAGGCAGATATCACTCATCTCAAAAACCAGCTCCTGTAGCTACAAACTTGCTCCGCACAAAAAACCAAGCTCCGTGCTTATTTTCTCTCTGGCTCTGCGCCATTTTCAACCTGTTCATCACAAGTTCTTACTCGTTCATCAAATTTTCCTTGTTTAGATCTTGTCTCAGGACAATCAAACACTCTTTTAGTGTTTTTCTCTTGTTTCAATCTTGTCTCTGGACATACAAACACTGTACACGTGTTTCTCTCTTAGAAATAACAAATCAAACTGTTATTTTCTTTTCAATTTCAATTGCAATCAAAGCAGATCTCTCAGATCTAATCCAGTTAGAGGAAGGCCCATAGATGAAGACTAGTTTGCTACAGAACCAATGATTTAAATGCTCTGGTGTGACTTTGATCCAGTCCCCACAAATCGCTCTGATCTTTTAATCTGCTGCTCCGCGCTCCAGATCCAGTTTTTTTACAACCTCTTTGTCAATTTCAGCAAATTGACTGGCACGCCCCTATGTTGTCATAAAGAATTCTCTGCGAAAACTGTAGCAAGAGATTTTTGGCGCAACATCTCTTTTTGGCACGCCTGGTGGGACTTGCACATCTGCTCTCCCTCTTTGGCGTCCCTCTCTCTCTCTCTCTCTCTCTCTCTCTCTTTCTACCTAGTCGGCGATCCCCGACTTCACTTCTCCTAGTCGCTCAGCAAGGTGTCCGCCTCACTCAAAGGTCCACACCAACTCAGTTCCCTTGACGCTTAAAGCAGGACAAGATAACAGATCTCTCCTCTTATCACGCCTCAGGGTATAATTTTCTTTACTTTTTCTTTTCCCCTCATCTTCTTTCTAAGTCCTACCAAGTGGCAAACATGCCACCTAAGGTTGATGAAGGCAGATCTAGCTATGGCATGCAAACTAGAAGCAAAAATGTGGCTGATCCTTCACAATTACCTTTGGAGTCTGATTCAAAGATCTTGTTGCAATATCTCACTGAAGCCATGAATGAAATTTCTTTGGCACATGAGCAGAGGATGCAGCAGCTTATGAGATCTATGGATCAGATGAACAGATC